CTTAAACACACAGGGTTGTCCCTTGGAAGACAGCAACATACCTAGAACCTGTTTTCTGCCCAGACAACTGGGAATGAACATGGTTGATAACCTGGTGGCCTTTGCACTCTATGTGTGGCCAAGAACACACCAGTTCCTCCCAGAGTCTTATCACGAGCTTGTCAATCTATATAACCCACCTGTATGGGAGATGTCACATGTACTCTACAAAGAGTTTTGTAGTTGTGTATTAAACTTTATCGTTCACACAGAATTGAGTTACTTATCAAGGAAAATTTTCACTAAACTGTGCTGTGCTTTAATATGCTTAAGCTACTCAGGGTCAGAGTCTGCAAGTTTGAACCAACACCTGCTGCTTAGTCCTGTTGAACTGCCTTCTTAACTCTGGGGGATCATTACCTCTGCTGGCCACCAGCGTACTGCTCTGTGCCATAGGAATGGATAAAACATCGTTTTCATATTTCTATAAGTTATCATGATCTTTTCTCTTATTAAATGTTTAAATTTACTGGATTATAATACACATAAAGAAGATGAACACTAAACATTATCACTTTATGAATTTTCAAAAAGTGAGCATATCCATGTTACTGATAAACTATAGCCACCATTAACTTGAAGGGGCCCCCTATGTAGCCCTGGCTAACCTGTAACATACTATGCAGACATGGCTTCAAATTTAAATGTTCCTCCTAGGTCTGTCTGTGCTGTGATTAAAGACATGTGATACCACACCCCATCCCACCTTAAATTTTTTAAAGGATTTATTTTATATGTATGGGTATTTTGCCTGCGAAAGTGTGCGTGCGCGTGTGTGTGTGTGTGTGTGTGTGTGTGTGTGTGTGTGTGTGTGTGTGTGTGCCATGGATCACCTGAAACTGGAGTTACAGACAGTTGTAAGCTGCCATGTGGCTGCAGGAGTTGAACCTGGGACTTCTAGAGAAACACCCAGTGTTCCTAACCACTGAGTCATCTCTCCAGGTCTCCCCCTCCCATCTCTAATTTTTAAGATGATAATAAAAGTTAATAAATAATAATTAAAATGGTTGAGACTACAAAAAGGCAGAGTGGCAATTAGGAAGGAGCAAAGGGCAATTGAATCAGGTGGGGACACATTGCAGAAATGGAAGGATTTCTTTATGAGGAACAGAATTGTCTATTTTCTCAACATAAGTTAAAAGTCTCAGCCTGACAGCTGCCTAATCTATAGTTTGTCCTACACTAACTTCCACAGTCCTAATCCTACTCGTGCTGGTTTGAATGAGAATGGCCCCCATAAGCTCATCTAAGTGAATGGTTAGTCATCTGGGAGTGACACTACTTGAGAAGGCTTAGGAGGTGTGGCCTTGTTGGAGAAAATGTGTCATTGGCTTTGAAGTTTCAAAATCCCAAGCCAGGACCAGATGTAGAACTCTCAGCTACTTTTCCAGCACCATGTCAGCTTCCATGCCACCATACTCCACACTACGATGATAACGAACTAAACTGAAAATGTAAGCAAGTCCCAATTAAATGTTTTCTTTTATAAGAGTTGGTGTGGTCATGGTGTCTCTTCACAGCAACAGAATACTAAGACATTACTTTTATCCTTAAAAGTAGGGTGGGGGGGGAGATAAAAGTTCAGCAATGTTATTATAAAATTATCAGCGTACTCCACACTTTAAATTGACAATAGTGTGCAAGGTTTTGGGGCTTTCTTTCCCTTAATAGGCAGGTCAGGTTTGTGGTTTAAAGCTGGTCACTCAGGTTTGTTGTTGGAGAACATCTATTCTGGGTTTAGACCCAACGCCTAAAGCTAATAAAGATGTAGGAGGAAGTTCAGAGACTCAACTATCTTCCACCCTGTTAAATACAAGTCTTTCTCAGATTTGGATTCTGAAATGATTTCTCACTGTTAGGACAGTGGTGCTCAACTTATGGGTCATGACCCCTTTGGGGTTGCATAACAGTAGCAAAATCACAGTTCTGAAATAACAAGGAAAACAATTTTATGGTTGGGGTCACCACAACATGAGGAACTGTATTGAAAGGTCACAGCTTCAGGAAGGTTGAGAACCACTGCTCTAGAACCTTCCCTAGCTTGGATACTGTGTATTTTCAGCGATGTATGCAACGCACAGAATCTTTTCCAGTTACCAAGTGCACGCAGGTCTGTTTCATTTAGAATTTCTGGATGATCGAGGCCCTGGCATGATTAGCAACACTGGGTTCAGGGCAAAGGTTCCACAGAACCCCAGGCTCCTGGTACCCAAGGAGGCAACAAAGAACACGGAGCGCGCTCCCCTGCCGCGGCTCTGATTTCAGTTGCATGCTGCGGAGCAGCTGGCAGAGATCTTCTCCGAGGTTCCTGCCCAAGCATGGGCAACTCTCACTGGCCGCTCCCACCAACCACAAAGAGTAAACC